TCCGTCTACTTTCGATTCCCCTCCCCTTCCCAGTCAGATACACATGCTCGGCTTCTTCTTCTTCTTCCTCTTCTTCTACTTGCAGTCTGTTGCCGGTGTGAAAGTCTTTCCAGCCTACTCTTTCCTATTAACTGTCCTCGGTTATATGTATACGAATTCGTCTTTTTTCTTTTGATTTTTTCATACTTAGATCCATGGTGAAATTAAGTATCTTGACGATGGAGAAAGTGGGTGTATCGTTGCGGAGGAACGTAACGAAAGTGGGTGAAGTGTCGAGGATCTGGTTTCTAGAGGCACACTGTGTGGGATTTGTGACTGGTTTGCTTGGGGAATAGTCACCGGGAGAACGAGTCTTTCGTGTCTTTCAAGTGGTCTCGGGGCTCGAAGGATGTTACTGGTTTCGGTGGTCGAAAAAAAAGCAAAGAAAGAAGATTATTCGAACTTTTAATTACGCTATTAACATTTACGATCCGAAAGATAGACACGTTAGGGCGACGGAAGTCGGAGATCCGTATCGAAGATCTTTCGTATCGCATAAGCCACGTTTGAATAATACAATGCAAGTCCGACGGCAAAGCGCAGTGACGATACCCCGTGACAGGCCTTATAAACGTAATTACGCTCTGGCATTCCGTTTGTTAGCCTTTTCCATGCTCCACGGAAATGCGTCGAGCTGAAGGCTTTTACGCCCCGTGAAACAGTCTTCTTCTCGAAACGATCGTTATCGCTTCGTATATCAAATGTATCTGAAATTCTCAGACCCTGTGTTCTGTCTCGTTATACCACCATCGAGATGAGATTTAATCGTTCAATTTATCATTCCTCGACGAGTCGTATTTTTAATTAAATTCAGAGAAGGGGAAAAACTTTTCGTTGCTCTTATTGTAGAGTATAAATTCGTAGAATTATAACGGAGACGACGTTAACCTCTTGCCTTATGAATTTTTAATCCAATTTTAATAACCTTCTTTGCGCAAAAGTAAAATTGGACTTGCAATTACATTTAATCACAACACGCACACGCGAATCCTCTGCCGCAAGATAGACGTATTAATTTTCGCGGCAATTAGAAATGTAATTTAAAATCAGCATAAATTGGCCAACGTACTGGAAGAGGAGAAAGCTTTTCGTTTTGCTCCACGAAGAGATTTTGACTGTCTGAATTTTTCAGCCCGTGTCCTAACGTATTCCATTGAGGCAAGAGGAAAGCGTGCAGGACTCGTTTTCCCGCTGTGCTCCCCGAGGGTCAGGGCTGTCCCTTTGTCGTCCCCTTTTCAATGCTCTTGCCTGGCTCGAGCTACGCCCGGCAGCTGCCTCTCTCTCCTACGAGAGACGTTTTTCAAAGTCCCCTCAGCGCTAACGATCACCCGGTCGGTCTCTTCCTCTATCCTCTACCCCGATGCGAAACGCGCAACGAGGGTTGAAAATCCCGCTGGGAGATTATTTTTCCCCTCGCTATCCTTTACTCTCCTACCTTCTCTTTCACCCCTGTCCTGATGTCTCTTTGACCTGGCATTCCTCCACCGACGAGGACTCGAAGGAATATTGCGGCTCCTGAGAATACGTTTCCTACGTACAAACTTCTGCCCTCCCTCCCTCCCTCTCTCTCTCTCTCTCTCTCTCTTCATCCTGATGATTTAGCCGGCGTTTCTGGGACGATCTTTACCTTTGTCTTAAAAACACTCGCGAACAAAAGTACGTTTCTTTTAGGATTATCGTGGAACAGAATGAGAATTCGTATTTTTCCTGATGTATACATCAGTTTAGAATCATTTTTTCTGTTTTCTTGGTGATTTCCTTTTCTTTTTTTATTTAGAACGATTTGAAAATTCCCGTGTGTAGTGTATATTTAGGTATACCGTGTAAAGAACTTCGAAATTACTTTAATTAAGGGTTAACGATTTCAAACTGTTGGTTGACGGCGCATATAAACGACGAGGGAACGGGCGAGGAAGATTGCGGAAGGATATGTGACGGTTGCCTGATGGATGAGGGTGCGATCCAGGAGTGGCGGAAAAATTAAACGTCTGATTGAACGAACAGCAGATTTCTCCTTTTACTTTATTCCTTCTTCAATCGTAGCTCACTGGAAACTCGCATACACGCGTTCCGTGAATATTCTTAATCCAGCTAACGAACATCTTTCAACGAATTCTCGGTTCACAGGAACTGTACGTGTTGTAGTTCTGGCGAAACTGTAGCATTTCCTTGTGGGATCGATTAAACTGACCTTTACTGTCAGTTACAGTAGCCTCTGACTAACATATTCTCTCCATCGTTAAGCAATCGATCCCTCCCCCTCCTCCCTAGGTGTGTAATACCTAAACTTCTCGACAAACATCCCCGGGAACGTTGATAAAACGAAATTACATCTTCGTCGAATCCACGATAAATTTCATTACCATCGATGCTCCTGGAAAACGAGCATTCCAGCATCCCCCGGTAGACGCTTCGAAGACGCGAAACTCAATACGAGAGGAGTAGCTTCGGTCCTATGCAGGGGACACAAAGGCCAGGAAGCGGAGCGACGATGAATTATAGAGGGCCGGCAAACGGAGCACGTCGCTTCTCCGGCACAGATCGATATCCCACTCGACGAACTTGTCGATGTGTATACCAAGAATCGATACCGCCCATGCATTATCGATGCCGTCTTCCGGTAGAAACTTGTGTGTCCTGTATACTATTTGCCGAAATGCAAAAAAAAAAGGAAGAAAAAGAAAAAACAGAGAAGCAATAGTGACGTCAAAGAGGGAGAGAGAGAGAGAGAGAGAGAGAGAGATGTGAAAATCATCGAGGATGGAAAAATTGCAAGAAGAACTCTGCACGATGTGATCCAACAAACGAAAGCAACATCCGACGAGGCTTTAATCACGCTGATACGCAAATTCTTTTTACACGCGTTGTTCGATTAAAAGCCCGGTGTTAATAGGTGGAGTTTTTCTTCTTTTTTTTCTGCAAAATTCCCGTCGGCTGTTTCTTTGATGTGTGTGTGTGTGTGTGCGATTTTTTTTCCTTCTCCCTTTTTGTTCACCCTGTGTTCGAGGTAGTTAGCGAGTGACATTGATGATTATTAGCCCGACGACTACGCGGGATGTTTCTCTTTTGAACTGCTGGCCCGTTCAGTGACCCTTTGTCAGGATCGATATTTGGGGTAGATAGGCGAGGTAAATTATAAACGGCCGACTCTTCTTCATGCTACCACTTGCACACAGCTGTGTGTACGCTCCGATCAATAATTCTATCTAATTTACTTTTCCGGCTGCGTCGCCGCCGCATGAATTTTCCGGCTGAAAATATTAAACGCATCGCGATGCTTCTTCCGTAACCCCTCTGTTAATTACCCCGGTGATTTACGTAACGAGATCGTCGTCTAATCTGATTATATTTTCGCACCGAGTGTATATTAAGTCGATAATTATCCGGGGATTTATGAATTTGTAAGATTGATTAAAAGCCACCGATACGTATACATGTTTTCAAGTGATTTTTCAATAAAAAAAAAGTTACAGCCTTATTTCCCACCGATTGTTCTGTTCGTATTTTATGGAAGCGTTCGTCGACGAATTCATACGATACTACGCTATGCAGAAAAGAATTCTGCAAGCAAATTTCTCCACATCTTCCTCGACGATATCCTGTTGCATTTACTCAGCATTCCCTACCTAAGCTAAGCAATCTTCTTTTTTTTTTTCCAGCTTAATAAGCACAGCGTCGGGTCGACAATGTTGCTAATTATTGCGCAATCACGTTGAACAACGTGTTCTTTCGTTCTCGAAGCTCGGAGAAACTCTTCCCTGCGTTCGACTAACTATCTCTACGATGATCCACGTTACAAACGCAACCGTTAAAACGATTCAGCGAAATAACCGTAACGCGGGCGACACCGATAAGAAAAATCCGCTTTTTCTCGTAGCAATGGCGTTCAGGAACGGAAGAACCGTGCACCGCGTCGCGAATGATATATACGAAGCGTGGAACGGGACGAAGGAAAGCGAGATATGCGATGTAACTGGCCGAAGCGAGGAACGAAGCAAACCAAAGCGAGACGAACGAGGCACAATACACCGCGTGCACGTGTGCATTTCACGTGACATACACCGGTGCACGTAGGTGTAGACACACACACACACACACACACGCGTCTATATATCTAAACGAATACATAGAGGTATGCGTGCGTGCACGTGTTTGTATGCGTGTGTGTATATACATGCACACAGTGTATGTATATGTATATATGTGTATATATATATATGTATATGTATATGTACACCATTGACCGGGATATCGTCTGTCTCGGGATGAATGAACCATTACGTCACGCACTTGTACTCTCTGATCCCCTTCCGCCTCTCTTCCCTCTGTGCTTTTCCTCATCCGTCGATTCTGTCTCCGTCTCTCTCTTTTACCCGGCTCTCGTGCTCGCATTATATTATGTGCACCAGCAGCAACGGCATACCTTCCTCCTTCCTTCCATCGATTAGCGGCAGAATTCCAGCCAAGGGGAGGGAGACGATAGAGCTATAGTTTCGATGGAGGTCAACGTATCGCGGTGGCTCAGACACCCGGCAGACGTGTCTGCTGCTGTAAAACGCCGAGGGACGAAGGACGCGGGGATGAGGAGGCAGAGTGGATCGCTTTCGTTGTACCACTGATACACTTTCGCGTCGCTCTCGTATCTTCGGCCGCAGGTGTACTCTCCTCTGTGTCTCTCCCGCCTTCTAACCCTTCGTTCCTTCGTCTTTCGCGTTTCCCTCTATACAACCATTACAAATGTTTCTTTCAGACTTACTTTTTAAGATAGCTGTGTGTGTATATGTATGATGTGTGTGTATGTATAACTAGGAAGATGTAAGAGAAACAGTAAGGAGATTCTAGGAGAGTAAAGTTAGTCTACTGATATCAGAGATTTAAGAAATTATTATTTTCTTTTTGCCTAAGAGAAACATGGCGATACATTGTCCGTGAACAATGAGAGATAACAAGTAGTAGTGGTGGTGGTAGTAGTAGTAGTAGTGGTAGTCATTGTTAAAAAAAGGGTCGTTCACAGTTTGTAGTCTAATTGACTGTACCTTAAGCTTATAGGTTAGTAATATTGATAGGTAACTTTGTCAGTCGAGTCGTTAACCTTCTAGGATGGGCTCGCGAGGTTCTCGACCGGGCTCTTTTAAGTTCGGGTACAACTTCGCTTTTGAACCGTCGCTGTTCACTCTACCGTGGAAGTCTGGCTTTTTCTCTTTTGGCGCACTTCGCTGCAGCCAAACGTCCAGTAAACTTTTAGAGGCGAAGAGACTAGCTTTGTGCAATTGTTTTCCCAAGGATATGGATGTGCTTGGCGGTGGTGACATGGGTGAATCGGTTGTCGCTCTTATTACGGTGGCTCGAGCTGTTCCATCTTCTTTTCCAAAGCTGTACACAATGAAACGAGGCGAAAGATGAGTAATCTTCTCAAAAATTAAAGATATTGTTTAAAGATATCTTGTTGGTCGAAATGATATATACCCATCTAATTCGCGTAGAGCTTGGTCCAATTCGACCTTGTCTTTATCGTCCTTGCTTCTTACTTCGAGAAGACAGGTCAGAACTTCAGAATGCGTGGCGGAATTGTTAGCATGGTGTTTTAGAAATGTTTCCAGCTCTCCCCACAAAAGCCTGTAATGTTCTTCTCTGCGTACACCACCTTTGCCACCTCGACCGCCACCTATGCTTGGTAGAGGCAACGCCTCGTGTTTTGTTTCTAACTGAAGCAAACTGAAGATCACTTGCTTGCATTGTACTACCTCCTCTGCAGTGAGTTCTTCTTTTACCATTAAGTCTGGTAGTGGGTCTATTAACTGCAACATAAAATTCATTACACATTGAAGTTACCGTAAAAATTTGTTGATTCAAATTTATTCGATGTATGTACCTGTTTTAAGTTAAACATAAGGGTACTAGAAATAGTAATTGGCCAGTATTTTGTATGCCTTTCCAGTCTGGATCTCATCTTCTCTGCTGGACCTTCGCTATTACAATTTGTACTTCGTTTCAAAGGCACCAGTACATTATTCCTCATAAGTCTTCCAAAATCCTATGATAATTTTTATCATATTAATTGCCAGGCAATAAGATTTTTAGAAAATGTTTGGATTTTAATATATTTACAGTTATCCTATAGTCAGTAACGCGACCACCACAGCCTTCGCTAATTGAAGGTGGATCCTCCAATACGCTTCTGGCTGTAGATAATGTGTGTATAAAAATTTCACCGCCATGCGCAGCAAGTAAATGAGAAATAGTCTTTCCTCCACTTTTTCTGGCCATTTCGAGCATCACCGATCTACCATTCAGCAGAAAATTGATTAAACAAGACGAAGGTCTACTATTTACATCTACGGGTGTGATTCTGTGCATAGCTGTACAGTTTTGCATTTCGGCTGCGCTGCATCCTCGTGGAGTACACCACTTTAAGGTCACTGTTTCGTATTCTGACCCTTCTTCGAATCTCCTGAATGTCTTAATTAAAGCTGAATCTTGAGGGTTTCCTATAAAAGCGTTCATATAATAATTTTATATATTTGTATGCATATTGAATAAGTAACATCTTTAGGTTGAAGAAAGAACCTTTTAAAATTGCGGAATGAGCAGCTGAAGAATGAAATATCTCGACATCATAATTCGCGGAAGAACTAGCATTCTGTTCTTCTTTCATTGGTATACCAGTCACTGTTGTACTAGCCAAATCATAATGAGATAAAATTAAATGAGATAATTTTGAATGTAAAGCAGGTGCCTTGATGGAGTGTACTTCTACTGTTAGCAATGGTGAAACCTAAAATAAAATATTTTATGAAATTATGTCATCTATACAGTTTAAAATTATACATGTGTGATAAAATGAATAAAATACCTCTCTTGGTCCTTGACTAGTAACTTGTGATTCAATATTGTTAGGAAAGATATTCAGTATAACTAAATGACAATAATCTACAGGTATTAAACTGAAATTGAAACAATAAACACATTATAAATGTAATGTACATTATTGAGTAATACTAATTTAGATACCAACTGGTCTGATGCTAAAGCAGTTTTATTTTCTTGAGCTAATTCGTTTAAAAATATATTTTCCAAGTTCTTCATATTGCTATTATCTCTTGCACTAGTGATGCATATCACCCTTCCTCTGTTAACAAGTTTACTAGCATTATCATTTAAAGATGTTCTTTTCTCATGCTGAATCTCTGAACACTCATTAAGTGTTTCGATAGCTACTCTTAAACCATGTATGACCGAATAATCCTCTCCAGGTTTTGGTACCTTTGTTGGCACTCCCAAAATGGCTGTGCCATTCATTATCTGTGATCATAACAGTTTTAATTAGTAACATTATTCTTTAAATTAAAAATAATTCAAAAATTGGAAAAGGCTTACATGATTTAAATTTTGCTGTGATGGACTCCATGAGTTTAATACATATGCTGCACGATCAGTTACAACAAACCTTATCTGTAAATGACATAAAAATTAAAAGCATTTTTCTTTTAAAGCTATGTGCATTTTATTTAAAATAGTAACTTAAAATAATATACCAATTTTCCTGTTGGAAACAGATCCCACACTATCCTGCAATATTCTAATGAAGCTTCTACACTGGTAGTCCACAATGATTTACAAACAGGTGCCAAAGGAATCAAGTTTTGACCACGACTCTTTAGAAAATCAAATTCTAGAGGAGCCTCAGTAGATATACCAAAATATGGCGTATGATCTAACACAAAAATAGTCTTATGATTTGCTGGATACATTCTATTACACCATTTTAAGAAACTGCTTTTTTTCACATATAATGCATTACACCTCGATAATTATACATTTACAGAAAAGAGGATAATGCTTCGAGAATATCACATGTTATAGGTTAGGGTACAAAATATTTCGAAGATGTTAATAATACATTGTTACAATTATGAGATTGTATAATAATGTAAAATGATTCTATGACAATATGATAACATTTGTATTTTTTCCGCATGTAAAAATTATTTTATTTTAAATAATCATTTCATAAATACAAATTTTATTATGATATTTATTTTCACGACGTATATATTAATTTTATAATATTTATGATGTTAATTGTAAAATACATAAAATATTAAGTAGTGTAGTTCAACATTCTTATGAGATAATTATTTTAGAATATACAATTTTATTTGCAAGTTTTATAATGCTATTAAAACATAATGTAGAAAAAGGTAAATTATTTCGTTTCCTCTTGGCTTGTAACGGGGCTAATGTAAAGTGTCCAACTTCCTTTCCGCTTGGAAGTCTCCTAGTGGCATTGATAACGTAAGTACTCTAAAATATTTTTCTTGATTTACAATACATATTTTTACATATAATGAAAGAAACTATGAACCAATGAACAAGAATTACACCAGCATTAAATTTTATATAAAAATATGGATAAATATCAAATGTTTTCAATAAATTTGTAAAATAAGTTAAGACACGTGGCGTCGTCTAAGCAATATTTCAGTATATTAATATTATTTTAAACTTTTAGCATTTTGTTTCGTTGAAATTTGTACATTTAAGTTTTGTATTTTATGAAATATATTAAAAGAATACACTATTTTATGTTATAAAATATGGTTACACGACTCATTTTTTTACGACTGTTCACGCGAAAAAAAAAAATAAAATATAGAAAACTGTTAATAATGAATAAATAAAAGTAATAATTTCTTCAATGCACCTTCTTTAGGTTATTCGTAATTCAATCACAACGTTAAGATGTCAGGAGGTTTAGATGTATTATCCCTTAAAGAGGATGATGTTACTAAAATGTTGGCGGCGTATACGCACTTAGGTGCAGAAAATGTAAATTTTCAAATGGAACAATATGTTTATAAGAAAAAAAGTGATGGTAAGTTTTGTATTTTTGTACAATGAGATGCCTCGATATTTACTTAAAATAATCTTATATATTTGAAACACAGGAGTCAGCATCATTAACCTGCGTCACACATGGGAGAAACTGCTACTAGCAGCACGTGCCATTGTTGCTATTGAACATCCAAGTGAAGTGTTTGTTATCAGTTGCCGTCAAACTGGCCAAAGAGCAGTTTTGAAATTTGCCCAACATACTGGAGCTACACCTATTGCTGGGCGTTTTACTCCTGGTGCTTTTACTAATCAGATCCAGGTTTGTTTAATTAAAGAGGAATATTAGTTATCAATATAGATATTATGTATTATTATGCAAATGATGAGTACTTAGGATCTAGAATTTATACATGTTGGTCTATTTGGCTTAATCTTTTCTGATTTTATTTGAGAAGTGAATAAATATCTAAGCTTAACAAAATTACAGTCTACTAATGTTGATAATTATTTTTAGTCTGCTTTCCGTGAACCACGTCTGTTGGTTGTTACTGATCCATCCAGTGATCACCAACCAATTACTGAGGCCAGTTACGTGAACATTCCAGTAATTGCTTTCTGTAACACCGATTCACCTCTTCGTTTCGTCGATATCGCTATTCCCTGCAACACAAAGAGTCTTCATTGTGTTGGTCTTATGTGGTGGTTATTGGCGAGAGAAGTTCTAAGATTAAGGGGCTCCATTGCCCGTGAGAGCAAATGGGACGTCGTCGTTGATCTGTTCTTCTACAGAGATCCGGAAGAGGTCAATTTTAACATAATTTACATTACAATTTTATTTAATTTTCTTTTCCACTTGTTTTTTTATCTTATAAATGATGAGAAAGTAGTGTCAGAAATATATTTGTTGACCTTACTTAAATATGGCTTAATCTTTACTGAATATATTCCTGCAATTCGTATCTACTTTAATGCGAACATTCGAAGTAGTAATACATCTGAATAATGTTTTTGCAGGCTGAGAAAGAGGAACAAGCTGCTAAGGAAATTGCACCGGTTAAAGACTTCACGGGACCAGTTGAAGTTGCTGCTCCTACTGAAGCTGGATGGGCGAATGAAGTTGATACTGGTACAGTTGCTCCTGAAAATTGGGCTGATGATGTAGCTCCACCAACTGCAGCAGCTATTCCAGCCGCAGGTGCTCCGCAACCATTCCAGGCGAGTGGAGACTGGGCAGCTCAGGTAAGAATGAAATGTTTTAATGGTTGCATTAAATTAAAGCAAAAAATTATTTATACTTGGACTATTGCAGCCATCAGAGGAATGGTCCACTACAACACCAACTACAGCAGGACAAAGTTGGGGAGGTGCAACCACCGAGAAGTGGTAATCTCATTCTCTTTGAAAATTTCATACAATGACACACTTTGTACAGTGAACGTAATAAAATGGATAAAAAACTGAAAAATATTGCTCGAACTTTTCTTACGAATCTACCAATATGTTATATTTCAAATCGGTAGATATTCTTTGAAAAATATGTATGTATCGAATCGTGGATACTATTTTTTTACTAAATGAGACTGATAGGCATACCGTTTATGCAAATAACATACAAAGTTGTAATGTTAATATATATTTCATTCAACAACCGTATGTGTAATAAGTTATAAAATAATTGGGATACTTAATTGTTGTAAATTTATTAATACTCAATATACGATGCGAAGTACTGTACAACATAAAACAGTAATACATAATAAACAAGACTTTTTGTAATATGCAAACATTTTAAACTTTGTTGTTAAGTACATTTAAGATGCAACCTTTAAAATAATGTACTAATAAAAGCATATGAATTTAATTACAAGTCATTGGTTATTTAAATATCTTTTCTTATATTTTCAGATAACAAATTTCGGTATTTGATATGGTTGACTTCCCTAATTAGCTTCGAGTCAAAATGAAGTAGTAAATTCACTTATATCTCAGAGGCTTGAATTTTTGCGCAATGTGCGAGTAGTACAAGTCAATTCATCTTCAAGCTATTTCCGCGCACGTTTCTAAGTTTTTCGCTCGAATTTTGTGATTTTTACGCGTTTCTAACGCTATCCGAACTTAAGAAATAATTATTCTACAATTCAAGTACTTGATGATAAAGTAGAAACTTTATTTTCCTACCTACATCATAACTAATGTCATAGTAATGAAAAATTTACTGTAAATATTAATCTTAAAGTGTCTACTACATGCAATTATGTTGTAATTTACAAGAACTATTATTAAAAGCGAATAATGCAAAGAATTTCTGTTTGAAAAATCTAACCTGATAATACTTCATTTCTGACGATGCCCCCAATGATACATGAGTAAAACAAGGAAAGGTGTAGCGGTAGAGAAGGATAGCAATAGTACCGCGTGTTAGACAAGGAAAGGAATAGCGGTAGACAAGGATAGCAATAGTACTGCGTGTTAGACAAGGAAGAGAGTAGCGGTAGACAAGGATAGCAATAGTACTGCGTGTTAGACAAGGAAAGAAATAGCGCTAGACAAGGATAGTAATAATACCATGTGTTAGACAAGGAAAGCAATAGGGATAGACAAGGACAGAAAAAAGCGGGGGGCGAGACTAAAGCCATCTCGCGTTTGGATTCGCGAACTAACGACTTGTTAATAGCATAACAGAATATAAACAGAGGTATTAGACAAGGAAAGCACTACTGTGCAACAAGGACAGAGCGAAAACGCTTCCTATTGGCTGGCGGGCGCTCCAGCTCGACCAACCACAGGCTACACCAAGTTCGTCGGGGAAAAATCATTAATAACTCATTAATTACGATGATTTTGTGAACTTTTAGAGTTGAAGAATGAAGAGTGGACTTTCAGCAACTTTCACATGTACTTTTTAGTTCTCTAGACCCTCTCAATAATTAGTTATTAATATTTTAGTACATGATGTCGGGAACGATACCGCGTACCGTCATGTATCTTCCCGGTTTTTCAATAATTTCATAGCTTTCTCCTAAATTCCCATGCAAATAACTATATGAGTTTGAAAGGCAGGTCCTTTAGCTACATTCTTTTATCATTTTTATTAACATATTCCGTTTAATTTAGAAGTTATTAAATATTCTTCAGGTAAGTATTACAGCTGTCGCTTTCAAGAGTAACACATTTTCGTTATTTCAATGAAAATGCGTAACTGATTATGCACTTTAAGACATGAAGAATGTAGAATAAACCTTTGTCTATATTCTACAATTAATTTGGTAGGTCTAATTCGTGCGGTTTAATTGATATTAGCAATTGTTTAGAACAGTTCACTATACGCGAATACGATGAACAGGAGACGCTCTCATATAATGTTTAATAATTTTTAAACTAAACGGAATATGTTAATAAAAATTACAAAAGAATGTAGCTAAAGGAGTTGCCTTTCAGATGAATATAGTTAGTTGCGTGGGAATTTAGTAGAAAGCTATGAAATTATTGAAAAACCGGGAAGATACATGACGGTACGCGGTATCGTTCCCGACATCATATACTAAAATATTAATAACTAATTATTGAGAGGGTCTAGAGAACTAAAAAGTACATCTGAAAGTAGCTGAAGGTTCAGTCTTCATTCTTCAATACTAAAAGTTCACAATTCATAGATAGATTCATAGATATTCGCAATTATTTATAAGAGTTGACTATATACGAGTACGATGAACAGAAGACGCTCTCATATAATGTAAAATTAATGAAAAACCAGAAGGGTGTGCGGTATCGCTGCCGACATTCCGCACAATAATTGTTAATAACTAATTATTGAAAGAGTTTAGTGCAATAAAAACTATATGTGAAAGTTGCTGAAGATCCATACTTCATTCTTCAATTTTAAAAGTTCACAGAATCATCGTAATCAATGAGGTATTAATGATTTTTCACCGACGGACTTGGTTTAGTTTGTGGTTGGTCGAGCTTGGGTGTCCGCCAGCCAATAGGAAGCGTTTTCGCTCTGTCCTTGTTGCACAGTAGTGCTTTCCTTGTCTAATACCTCTGTTTATATTCTGTTATGCTATTAACAAGTCGTTAGTTCGCGAATCCAAACGCGAGATGGCTTTAGTCTCGCCCCCCGCTTTTTTCTGTCCTTGTCTATCCCTATTGCTTTCCTTGTTTAACACACAGCACTATCACTATCCTTATCTAGCGATATTGCGTTCCTTGGCTAACTCGTTCCTTAATTGCTGTCCTTTTCTACCGCTATTTCTTTTCTTGTCTTACTCATTGACAAAATACAGACCGGATTTCAGGTATGATAAAAGCATTAATTTTAGCGTATTTTATGAATCAACCGTACATTTTCTTTTGTATGTGCAGTTTCAACACCAGAATTAATTTCATTTATTTTTAAAATTATAATAAACATGACCAAATAGAAAAATTCAACTCTTAGCGAATAACAGTTTTGAGGTTACGGATAGCTCGAGTTGACGTGTGTATTTAATTCGTTAAGTTTTTACGTGCGTTTTTGAAGAGAACATTGCAAAAGCTTTTACTTTGACATTCTAACTTTCTTTTTATTTTCAAATATTTGATGTTTTTTCCTTGCAATTTTTTTGGTACTTTTATCCATTTCTTTCAATACGTACCTTTGTTTTGAGTAGCTCCAACTAGGTATGATAATTGGTTATCTAATATATTTTATTGCGTGGACGGAACTTGTAGACTTGAAGAGGCATGGATTGGTAAGCATTTGGTGGTGGACAAGGGTTTTTTAAGCGAAGAATAGAAGTTTTCCACCTAAAATTCATTTATTCAAATAATTCTGCTAACTATTACATGAAATATACAATAAAATCTTATAAATTATTTATATAATTTATAATATAATATAATTTGTACTGTATAATGTAAGATATTGCAATTAAATGTAACAAAATACAATGTAATTACAAGAAAATGTAAAGGAACACATTATAATGCAATATAATTTGAAGTATTATGACATTTTATATACAAGTATAAAATAAATGGAATTTTTGCACAAACAGTGTTAACATGGTAGTGTAGAATTCTATGAATAAGAAGTAAAGCCAATTATAAAATGAATCATAAAATTATACAGTAGAATATAAAATAATGCAAAATGACATTACATTATGCTTTACCATATTACATTACATGATTTCCAATTCATTTGACAATTGGTTTTACTTTTTACATATAATACTGTATAAGTGATGACAAGAAATTATTTCACCTAAAATTATTCTATTAAGCTAATGATGGTTAATCGAAGAATTTGAGCAACTTTACCTGCACTGTACTTGTGACATAAAGAAAAAAACAATTGGATAGTAGCATTAGCATAAAATATACATTCTTGTAAACAAGCTGTAATGAAGCTAATGTTTCAAAACACTAAAAGTGCTGTTTTGTACATGTACCATTATAATGAATATAATCTATAAAGATAGTAACACTTTTAGTCTTTTAATTCCATGTAGAATTCCATGTTGTTGACCAAATGTTTTTTTCTCCTGTTGCATTTTATCTGTAACAGACAGAAAGAACTATTAAACAATGAAAACAATTTAAAACAACAAGTTACCAGTAAGATATCAATAAAATCAATCTCTGAAATAACTAAAAATTACTACAGCCATAGTAATTTCCAATTATTGACAGACTTTATGTTAAGGAAAATGTTATTTACATCTTTAATTATCTTCACTTTTCATAGAAAATATATTTTGTAATACTTTTCGTATAACAATTACCGTGCATACTTCCTAACCTAAAAGTAGACGTAATACATTTCATTAACATGAATTAATTCTACAATAAATCTATCTAAAAATCTGATATTTGCTAACAAAGACATAGTATTTTATCTTGCTAAAACGAATCGCCGATACTGAACGATCCGACTAGGAGTCCGTGCTAGAGTACCCATCGAAATAAAACGCGCATGCCAAACAATTCCACTTGACAACCGCTGATCTACGAAATGTCAGCGTGCTGACAGCATGGTGACAGCTACTATAAAGAAGCTCTACGAGGTTATCGAACTCCATTCCTCTCTCTCTCTTCTATTTTTTTCTGTGAATGTCCTGGCGCAGAGGCTTTATCACTGCAAAAGGGAGAATCGAGCTTTTGTTTTAAAAAGTAAGTAGCTTTTCAAGCCTCGAATTGCTCGTTGCTTCGGGCGAGCGAACACCCTTTTACCGAATTACCTGAAGGTGCTCTCAACTTTCCTCTACTATTTTTAATGCTAGTTTGAAAATTCTTCAATTAATTAAATTAACTTACTTATCTCATCGATCTTGTTCCTCCATGTTTTTTAAAAATCTTGAACGCTATTGTACGAAGTATACACCGATCCTTTTATATCTGATGCCTACAATTCAGCTAAATTGTATCGTTCAACTATTTCAGATAGAATATTAGAAGAAACTTTAACATCTGAAATTTGTAATAACATATTAATTCCATTAACCGTTCAACTTCCCGTTGTATAAATACGTGAATCAATTTTGCTTACCGACTCGTATCATCTGAAAATAGGTACCGGGAGTCCTCCATTATTGCCGCAAGATCGATAATCGAAAATTGTTTCGACTGATTGCACGTTAATCTCGACGCGGTCCACAGTTCGAAATGAAACATCAGCTCGTTAGAAATACCTCGTCCTTCAATTTACCAGCATTCATCCTCTGTATCTCTGCGGAACGATTGTAATAACTGTTTTCACGTTAATTCCGTGCCTTTCGTATTGGTTTCCATTAATCGATCGAAAAATCAGTCTGCAGTCCTGAATGAAAGCAATCAAAACATAAAAATCGCTGTTTAAAAGAAACCTTTTCCAAACTCAAGTACTCTGTTGAAAAGTGAAAATTACGTAGGTTACAGGATTTTTTTTCTCAGTATGTACAACGAACAACAACGTCAAACTTTTCTCACTTACCAAGGCACTTATAAAGCATGCGAAACAATTTTTTAAATAGCTCTCCAATCTTTAGCTCTCCGGAGATAAAGATAGCACCTTTAAAAAAAAGATGACGGAATTGATTTCAGCTCACAGACTGATCCAAAAGGAAGAAATGAAAAAGATTTATAAACAGTACGAGTATCGCTGTTGCGAATACCAGAATTAATCGTACAACTCAAAATTTAACAAAATGGCGCGCATTTAAAGTACCGAAAGTTTTCATTCTTTTTTTTAAGTTTTCCAACGTAACTAAGTGTTAAGAAAAAGCTTACAATTGTCTCGTTAGGCTCGAAGGATTAACTGATCCAGGGACACTTCGAGCTACAGACACTCGGGAAGAAAAGTTTTAATCAAATACCAACTAGGGAGAGCCGAACTTTTCCACAGCGTCACAGGTGAATGGCCGACAGGTGAAAAGCCTGGAGCTTGAATAAAGCACGAGGTAAAATTACGGCAGAATGACCGATGCAACGTCGAGATCCTCCAAGCAGCCGCGTCGTATCACCGGCCAGAAGAGCCGGAAGAAGACCGCGACGTCCACCAGAAGACCCGGAGGAGGCTTCTTCAGGTATACATACTCGTCCAATTGGCAAACATTTCGTGAAAATTGGAATTCCTTTTTTATTTCGACGAGAAATTTTTTTTCAGGATTTATTTAAAATTTATTTTTTTTAATAAATCAATAGAAATTTAATTAAAGAAAATGAAATTCACGAACGAAACGCTTTCAGGACGATGTGATTCACAAGAATTGATTTTTCTTCGTTATTTCTTTCTCTGCACGATGCAGAACACAGTATTACTTTACCAAAGGCCACGAGCACATGGGAGAAGCCAGAGATGTCCTCCAGGAACAATCTCCCTTTATTTATCCACCTTGCTCCAGTATGTTCTCCTATTTTCAATATTGGAAGGCGAAAAAGCGCACATGGGACAAAGAACGCAGAATGGGTGTTCTAAAGTCCACGGATTCGCACGAACTTCTACGTTCCCTTCGTGTAAGCATTGCGAATCTACCACAGTAGATTCTCTCTTCTAAATAAACGAGTATATATTCTTTGGACTTAGCAAGTTGTCCCGTTGGATTTATCATTTTCAGAGGATTTCAGAGGAATTTGCTTGCTTGAGAGTTGTACCATTGTGCTTTTGTCAAGGTGGACGTGGAGATCGAGGCGTTGGAGGCGAAGAAGCACAAAGATCTGGACGAAGCGATAGCCATTACGGACGTGGATCCAAAATTCTTCAGTAAATTGGACGGAAGGGTGATCAAAGAGAAATTCTCCGTGAGAGACTACGTGGACGATATTCGTGAGATTTTTAAGGCTCGACTGTTAGCCGGACAGGAGATGGACGATTGTATTCGTAACGATCAGCAGTTCGTCGAGCAGCAGAAGATACTCGACAGGATCAAGGTTCGCGAGAATGATATTTTGTCGTTCTTTAAAAATTATTCGAAACCTAACATTGCTTAAACATTTTCAATTGAATAACATTCACATTCTGTATTATTGCAGATATAAATTTGCGAGCATTCTTCCTTTCCATCTTTCTCCAAAAATACCATACTATTTACAAATCTATCGTTAATCCTTTAACAATTAAATGTGCTTGTACACGTTAATTCAAGCTTCCACAGATGCTATTCATTCAGGAACCGTTCGATCAATAGACGTTACAGTGGAAATAAAATTGCAGGTCGAATTAAACAAGCTAATTTGTACTGTACACATCCAGGAGTCTTTTCTGATCAATGTTCAGAAATTTGTAAACAATTCGTACTCTTTTTTACAAGTTTTACAACGCTAGTAAATTATCTCTATTCTTTTCCAGCATCGTTATCACCGTTACGTGGCCGGCTTCGAGGAGTTCCTCTCGAAGGACCACGAGGAGAGCATGAGGATCCTGCTTGAAGCAGAGCACGAGGCCAAGTTAACCAGAGAGGTCAGCGAGAAGAGGAACCAGCTCTCCAAGGAGTTAGGCCACGTCAGACTGGACGTCTATCACTGGGAGGAGAACTGGAGGATGGTGAAGATGTGCCAGAGGTTCCTCTATCAGGTGTCTCCGATCGCGTGGCGCGAGGAACACGACTGGATCCATCGTTCAGACTCCGGAGAGAGTGTCATTCGCGGCAACACGGACGATCTATTCGGTCGATACAGAACGGTCGACGAAGTTGCTTCGCTCAATAGCTTGATAGGTGATTCTTTCACCTATTTCCTACACCTCCTTCGAGATCCTCGACCTGTGGAGAGCGTTCTTCGTCAGCGAATTCTTCCCGCCTTCATAGAGGGCTTCTCATAATTATTCTGCGATTTTTTTTCTTTTTATTTGGGATTTGTTAATTATCAAACAATTGGTAGATTTATGTTACAGTTTGCATATGAAGAGTGAGAAATTTTTCAGTTTCATTAGAGAACTTACCTTTCTCTTGCCTCGAAATTTATCAACCATCGAAAGATACGTTAATCTTCGTGTCTAGAATTGTTCGAGCAGGACGTCATGGAAGCAGGCCCAACAGAATTATACTTCGTGGACCCGCTCGATCTAATTCGCGTGTTCAGAGCGATAGAAACGCAAAACCTGAGTGCTTTAATCCATTTAGAATCTCTGGCAGAGCCGATGTCCGAGATGATCAACACGATCCAAACTGCCGAAGAACAAATCAAATTAGAAGTCAGAGAACTCACCAACGCTATCAACGAACTCCAAGTAACAATCTAACCGTTAAAAAAAATATTTTACCATCGTTCAAATCACTCATTAACGGTAAATGATTTTTCTTCAGGAGAATATTCGTAAACTGGAGAACAGAGCGAAAGATCTGGAAAATTACGCGAACGAGCTGTTGGAAACAGTGTTCAGGGATTCTGTTTGCTCCGAGGAGGTGCTTCGTCTTCAAGTATTCATCGAAGTTGCTTACGAGAGCTGTGTAGGCCCGAACGAAGCCAATCTGGATAGTTTCTCGATGATGAAATGGATCGAGAAGACGCACGAGGAGTTGAATTTGGAATTGGACACGTTACCACCGGGTGTGGTCAAAGCTTGCGAGAAAGAGGGATTCAAACAGGAACTTAGAGCTATGAAGGAGACAGAGGAGGCTGCTAAAAAGGTTGTACAGATGTGAAGAAAATCAATTTTTCCCTGTGCATACTATGTGAAACTATAGATTAAACGTGATAGGTCGAAGGTTTGAACACGAGCTTAGGTAACTTTGTTCGTTGTAGTTCGAGCTTATGCATCGATTGCTCGCCTCCCTGAAGCGTGTCATGGAGCCACCCGTGACAAAGAGGCGACCTTTAATGTGGCGTTCGACCCCAAGTATTCAAAGGGCCAAGCCGATACCGCCGCCGCCGGAGCCCACCGACGAGGAGACGCAATTTTTGACCTTCTTCACCAATTATTGCAAACAGGAGGACTTCACCACCTATCGGTCCCAATTTCCGGACGACTTTGACCTCACGTTCCAGGCTCGGCGGCTTGACGCTTCTGGAAGCGAGGAAACTGTCGACGAGGAAGAGGAGGAAGAAGAGGAATCTGAAGAAGAAGATTACGAATGATCCAAACGATTTTTCTGATAGTTTCGTGGAATGTTTGCAGTACTTGTGAAATATAACGTGAATGGTTGTTCTTCAATTTTGGTGTTGAATTTTGGAAAGTGGATTCGAGGAGTCTAATTTTTAAAAATTCGAAGAAGAATTCTGAGATTTGCAATATTTCGAGGTTCCTCGTGAAATGAGGAAAATATATTGGAGAAATCCTCAGGATCTCTGAGGGAGAGCGTGAAATTTCTCTGAAATTTCCAAAACTTTGAAATTTGCGGTACTCTGAAATTTCCAAAACTCTGAAATTTCCAATACTTACAGTTTATATTGAATAAAAAATAGAACAATGCACAATTATCTTTGAATTCTGCTCGAAGGAAAGATCTCCCATAATCAATGAAAGGAAGCAGCATTACAAATAACCGTACCACTCGAAGACTTTCCTCGATCTCTTCCAATTATTCACGACCTATCATGTTACCGTCGCAGACGAGTTCGTGAATAATTTACGATGCTTTCGCAGAATCGAAAATCTTCGTCGTCCAATTAAGTAATTGAATTAATCAGGCTGGTTGCTAGGGAACGCATGCAGACGAACTTCCGTGATATACCTTTATACATGTACACGTTTTTTCTCTTTTTTTCTTCTTTTTTTCTTCTAATTGGAATACTCACGCAGCTTGAACATCGATCAAACGCACGGTCCTGAACGAGTGTACCAGCGTGAACATTAATTCGAAACGCGAAACGACGCGTCCGTTGCGATTCTTTTTCATCTTTAATGGGCCTCCATGTGTTCCCCAGTTTTACACGCGCCAGTCATGGCGTTTCAACTTTTACTGGAACAGCTGTGCGTTAAGGATGAAAATTTTACGCGGCGCGTCCACGGGAATGGAACGGGAGAAGAAACTTCGTCACGGATTTCCCCCTAAATTCATACTTAAACAAACTCTCCCGCGTTATTTCCGCATTTTGCAAATTCTTTCGTCCGATGAAAATTATCATCCCCTTCGATCATCGCAACACACGGATTAGTGTAACTAGAACACCATAATTGAGCGTCTTTAAACCCTTCACTATCGAATTTTCACATAAACTTCCAATCTTCAACCCTTTGAAACTTGACCAATTTTTCTCCAATTATTTGAGAGTCAAAAAAGAAATTCCACCGAATTTAGTTACTTAAACTTCTTCCATACAAGTTATCTCAGTTGAAAGAACTCAAAAGTATGAGTGAACGTGGGTTCGTTCAATCGCCCAAGGGTTAAAATTCCTCTTCCTTCCACCGTCAATGAGGAGAAACCTCGGAAAAATCCACCTCAACGCGTATAATTGTCCCGAACAACCATTCATCCTCCGTTTGAATCGACATCAAACGTGGAAGCAGCCGGATAGGATTAAAAGAATCCGAGTTCTATTCGTGTAATTGAAGACAAAGTGAATTTAAGAATAGAAACGAGAGGCTGACACAGGCCAGGCAGGGCTCGTTCTGAAATTCTTTCCGCGAGGAAAAACTACCGTGCTTCCATAACTCTGGATTACTTTCGCGTGGAGAATGCTCGTGGGTTCCTCCTTTGCATTCCCGTTTCCCAAAGGACTCCCAAGGCAAGAACAAGAGAGGGGCACATCCCTCTCGGTGGGCGGACCAAGGGTGGAGGAGAAAGCAGCGCACATGTACGAACGGAGGAAAAAGCAGCGTAACGAAGGGAGAGGGGAAGAGGCGAGTTTAGAAGAAAAGAAGTAATTTCTCGAATGGCGTGGTGAAATATAGAATGGTGAGGAAAAGCAAGGGGGATGAGGTTGGAAAACACTGTGGTTCACGTCTTCGTCGTTGGAAAGTCGATATCGATGTCAGTTCACGCGGGGAAATTAAATCATGGAATAATCATCTTTCTTATTAATCCATCGCGTTTGACCTGGTTTCATCCGGTACTTTTTTCTTTTTTTAACCCCTTAACCTATGATTTCTTTTCTGACAGTGTATCTAAGCGTCGTCCATTTTCTGTTTTAGTACTGAATCAGGTAACAAAAGCTAGTCTGTCACAGATTAATTACATTTAGCAATCCCTCAGTCTTACAAATTCAAATAAAAATTAGGATTACAATGAATTTTTCTTACTAATACAACTATTTTTGTCACATCTTCGCCAGAATCTCTGCCACGAGTCTGACAAGTTGTCATATGTTAAGGGGTTAACGGTACTACCTTAGTTTCGATTCGAATTAATTTTAGTCTGTCGGTGAAACGTGTGTATTTCATTTTTATTTTTTCTCTCCTTGTTTTTCGTCGCATCAAACACGAGACTATTAGCGACGTTGAACGGTCTGTGTTGTTTCGCTAGATTTTGTCGGTTAGTTTTGTTTCCTTGACGAAGCCTAGTAAGTTAAGCATTTTGTTGTGCTTCAGATTTTCTTCAAGAGACGGTTCCAGTTTGTATTTGTTGCAGAACAAGCTATACTTTGGGCAGACCAGTATTAGACTATCTGTTGCGACCGGTGTGTTACACTCTTCGCACGACGGAGCAGGTTCCTTAGTTACAAGATAGGTGTGGGAGATTTTTGAGTGGTGTGTAGTTTTATTCGAAATTCAATTTGGCCCTTCTCGACTGGAAAAATTGCTCGAGATCGCCTAAAGATGTAATTTGATCGATCTCGACTGGAAAAAATTGCTTCGGATCGCCTGAAGATTTAAACAACGATCGACGAACGGGTGATAACGCGGTTCGATCTGAACTCGAGCACGACATTACGGTGTATGTAGTCTGTTGAGAAGAAAAAAGTTCTGATTGGAGTGGCTCGAAGTCAGGGTTGTGAAACGAGCATTGTAAATGAGAATTTTTAGGACGGCCTTGACAGGCCGTCTCGAGACCGTCGTCTCGACGCGAAATAGTCAGAAAGGGAGGCGGAAAGGCGAGGGTGGCTGGAACGAGTCGAGTACCACGTGTCTGCCATCGATTCCACTTGTAGAGCAGAGGTGGCGAGGGTCGGATAGTTAGGTATCGTTGCAAACGATCCACTGGATCTCTTCTCCAATTCCTGCGGAGTGGTCGACACTCGGCAACTTGCCGAGTGACAACACTTCATCCTACGAAAAGGGTGAAGATTTCCACTGCAAAATAGCTTCCTCGAGAAAACTACAATACCGGTTAGTTACAACGAAACTTCCAGCCTTGAACTGTTCTCCGGAAGAAAGTATAAAGAAAAAAATGACAGAACAGTCGAGAAAACTTGGCGATTTCGTACGAAATGCCGTTTAACACTTTGAATGGACCAATTCTACATAACCTGTCCACGGCGCCGAGAAGAATTTTTATCCTATAAATAATATGCCAACAGGTAGATGACAATTTTACAAATACTACCGTTTGTTCGTATTAAATGCTTTTACTAATTTTGGACACCGCCGGTGATCGATCACCCTCGCAGCATTCAAAGCGTTAAACGACACATAATTAATATGTGATGTTCATACCGTGGGTCATAAATGACCCACACAAGTGAAATTGCCACTGGAAGTGTCGATAACTTTTCAACTATATCTCGAAACGATCGAACAAAGTCTTCCTTGTAGAAATACACAAACCACCGGTTACAATCAGCCAGAACGATGGAATAATCGATAAACGTGCGGGGATAGCTCTATTACTCCGACGAACAAAGCTACTTTGGTCTCCGCCGGTATTGTGCTCTGTAATCGTTATCTGACCGTACGAAAGAGTTAAAAGAGAGTGGAAAACGAATCGACAGGGTTGAACAGCGCGGCGAGAACACCAGCTGCACAGGTCCCAGAAGAATGGCCGGCGTTTCCGTGGAAAGGCCGGATTTTGCGTACTTCGAGGAGGCCTTTCGAGATTATCCCCATGGCAACGAGGATTGCTCGATAGCAGACTGGCTAGGGTGCTCTTCACCCGAGCCAACCCTTCTCTCTCTCTCTCTTCCTCTCGGTCCCTCTTTTCGTCCCTGTTTATCGTCCGTCTGTTTTCAACCCTCTGTGAGCTTCCTCTCCTATGACTTCTCTCGTTTTTAACACACAGACTGTGGCTTATGTGTATATACACACCGGTGTATTTTCTCCTCTTGGTCCTCCTGTGCTATATTATTCACCATTCAGCTGTCCGTGAACTCACCGCGAGCAGAGAGGGCCTTTTGTCTCGCGCGCCACTCATCCTCGCGTTCGAACAGGCGGTCCGCCAATGTTTATCGAGTCTTTCTTTTTATATATCTACCCGCGTCTTTGGTGTTCCTCCTATCGTTGGATCACTGGAAAACAGCGTGATCTTCGCTGAGCTACGATAACTGAGATTTGTATATATATTTTGTATGGAAATTTGAAGTCTAAATTGATGTTTCGCATGTTTAAAGCGAGTATCTCTGAGAATAGAGTGCGAAGAGCGTGAGACAATTGGTCTGAACGGTTGAAATTGGCGTTTTTGTTCGGAATGACCTGGTGAACGTTCGTCGAAAACCACAACGAACACCCTGTATACTGATTCGACTTGGCCAGCGTGGAGGAACGGCGAAGAATAAAAGAAGAATCTGTTAATCCAGCCGGACAATTTCAACAATGGAGAGGTCCATAGTCCTGGTGAACTACTTTATTCGCTATTCAGCCGTCCGTGAACTCTGAATAAAAGGGCCCTTTGTCTCGAGTGCTACTTGTCCACGCGTTTGAATACGCGGCTGGCTCGCCTCTGCCGCTCTAGCTACAACTGTTTACTGTGTTCGAATGAATGTTATTAAGGCTAAAAGGGTTCCGCGGACGTTAAGATCTGTATTGATACGCTGTGTATTAATACAGATCGCGATTCACGTGTCTCAGATTTGTGTCAAGCATCAACCATCGCGTACACGTGGCAGATGGAATCGTCAGATTTACGAGAATTTACTTCTCGAAGAGTTTAGGTCTCGTGAGATGTTTCTTAATGAATCAATGAACGTTGAGAAAATCTTTAACCCTTTCGTTGCTATTGGCCTCTACAGGTGTTTCGAAAATTTGTTCGCACTGTGCAATATTC